GGGGCTGGACCTCGCCTGCTGCCCTGCACTGCCGGGAGGCAGCTTCTCCGGCCTGGAGCCCATGGGGCTGCTCTGGGCTTTGCAGCCCCAAAAGCCCTTCAGGCGGCTGGTGAAGCGGGATGTGCAGACCCCCTTCCTCCTGCAGCTGGAGGTGTTTGAGGGCCATGGGGAGCCCCCCGGGCGGCTCCTGGCCCAGGTGCAGCACGAGCGGGCGTTCCTGCGGGACGGGGTGCGGAGAGTCCCAGTGCGAGAGGGGAGGATCCGGGCGACGCTTTTCTTGCCCCCCGGTGAGTATCGGCCGTGCCGGGCTCCTACCCCCGCGGGTGCTGCCTCCGCTCTCTGCCCTGTGCTCCCGGGCCCGCAGCCAGATCGCCTCCAGACTCCTCTTGAGCCCGGTACCAGGCAGAGGACAAGGGGGAGCTGGACCTTGCCAGCTGGCACTGGGCACTCTTCAAGGAGCAGCCTGATCAGCCCAAACAGCTTTGATCTGCTGGCCACACTCCTCACGTAGTGCAGCTACACGGGCTAAAACACATGTGAGTTTGTTTTATTGACGTATTGGACATGAAGGCATTGACCACAGTACCCTTTTTGTTTCCAAATGCTGTGGGAGGTGGTGTCAGCCAGTCTTCAAGGTACCTTTCCTCTACCTGGCTGTTTTCCAGGGAATTCAGCTAGTTGAAGGTTGCTCTCCAAAAGTCGAGTCCTAAGCCTGCTGCTTCCCTTCCCTTCCCAGCCTCCCCCCAGATCCTGAACTTAGTAATGTCATAGTTGCTGCAGTCCAAGCTGCCTTTTGCTGCCACATTTGTCCCCGGTTCTTCCCTGTTTGTGAGCAGAAGATCAAGTAAAGCATTAGACAGGTTTGCCCTTACAGTATTTTTGTCAGAAAATAATCATTGAGAGGGTCTGTGAGGTTTCCAGATTGCCTGACAAATGCTGTGTTGTCCTCCCAGCAGCTGTCCAGACTTCTGCTAGTTGTCTGTAGGAAGCCTCATCTCTTGTCTCCTCTTGGTTGAGTGATCTGTAGCAGCCACACCACCACCACATCCCACCTTTCTTTCCTCCTGTGACCCAGAGGCTTTCACCAATCATGTCTCTGGAACCCCATGTACACAAGGAGCTCCTCTACGTAGCACGTGACTTCCCCTCTTCCCCTTCTTCCCTGTCTGTCCCTGGTAACTCCTCCATGATAATGCCAAAATCATATGTGCTGTCCCAGCCAGTGTCCCGGACTCTGATTGCGTTGTGGCCCTGTGGCTGGAGGTGAATTTGCAGTTGTTCTTGTTTCTTGCCCAAGTTCTTCATGTTAGTCTGCAGACACCTCACCCTCCTTTCTGAGCAGGAATGGGAGTCTCCCTCTTGGCCTCCTCCTTTCCACACTTTGTTATCAGTTTGCAGCAATCCCTCTCAGCTCTGGACTTCAGTCCCTGTCCCCTGATGAACCTAATGTAAAGCATCCCTCACCAGGTTACCAAGGTTGGTTGCAAATACTTTCTTCTCTTAATCCCAGAATAAATGGCTATAGTACATTTATACTGAGAAGCTGGAACCATCAGAAGATGAGATTTTTTTGATCAATCTTCTGAGAAATGCACTGGGGAGAAGCCTTCTGGGTATTTTTGAAGCAGAGCTTGATACTTTTGCAGTGAATTTACATGATATGGAGAACTAGTTGTGGCTGTCAAGGGATCCCTTCCCTTCCAGCCACGTGTTCCTTGATGTTATCCAAAACATTAGCAGGCCTGCTAATTTGTGCTGTCTTGTTTAGTCTTGAAGCAATGTAGCCATTTACTGAAAACTGGCACGGTAATTTAGGACCCTTAGCACCATTCTGCTGCTCTATGTTTTTTTCTTTTTTAAAAAGACATATTCTCAGGCCTATGAATTTGGAACATAAATTAAAAATTGTGGGTTAATGTGCCCTGTTGTGTGGTCTTTTGCAGGAAATGGCCCCTTTCCGGGGATTATTGACTTGTATGGAGCTGGAGGAGGACTCCCTGAATACAGGGCATGCCTGCTGGCCAACTATGGCTTTGCTGTGCTGGCTCTGGCTTTCTACGGCTATGAAGATCTCCCCAAAGAGATGAAGGAATTCCACCTGGAATATTTTGAAGAAGCCGTAAACTATATGTTACAACACACCCAGGTTGGTTTGTTCATTGACACTCACTCACTAGAGGGAACTCTCATTAGTCAGGTCCTGTCAGACTGCAGATGGGGCAGAGCTGCTGTACTTAAAATAGCCTCTCCGTTCAAGTTGGCTGTAATTAATTTGTTTTATATCTTTAACTCCCATTACAATGGTTCTCTGGCAGATTATTCCAATTCTTCCTTTTGAACTGGCCAGGTGACACAGTGACACATAGGTCACATACTGGTAATTTCTGCTCCATTCAACCCAGTGTCATAACTAGGGTACTAGTTGCCTGGACGCTTATTGGACTTCCAGCGGGGCTTTTAGGTTTATGCTCTGTAAAATGTCCTTCAGAACTAAATGTCCTTTTCAACCGTGGAGCACATGATAACCTTCTGTGATCCAGGTCTCGAGGAAGTCCACCAGTACACATTTGTTGCTGTGTATTGTATAAGCTGTTAAAATCACTCCAAATGTTGGTATTTGGTGAGCATGGGTTTTAGTAGCTAGTTGTGAACTTGGGGATCCTTCTAAGTCAACACCTGTTGGAAGAGAACCCTGCTTGGTTCTGCATCTCCTTCCAAGTAGCTGTGCATGACAGTAACTAGAATTGCATAAGGCAACACTTGGTTTCTCTGGAGAACTCAAAATAAATACCTTCCTCAGCCTCAGAAAGATGAGTAGTTGTTAAAGGTCTTGGTTGCTTTTCAGTCGCCCTAACCCTAACTGCTTGTACCACCTCTCTGCCCAAAAAACTTTGAAAATTGCTTTCCCCCCACACTTTTTTTCCCCTGAGAGCAGTACCATAGCCTCCCATTAACACCTCCACTGATACCCTCACCATGTTTTTAACACGTTGCGACGTTTCAGCCATATTTTCTAATTTCCCCCTTTCCATGCTTCAAAGTCAGTGGGTTTGGAGCCTATTACACTGGTGATAAGGTACAAAAGGTATTAAATTTTGATGCTGTCTCAGAGCCTTTTTACCCTGAGGGTCTTTGGATATTGGAGCAGTTGTGATATTAGCTAACCTTCTTCCAATATCCTTAGAGGATTTCAGCACCCTGTAAGATCATTTAGCTTTCCTATTCTAGTTAATTTTCCTGTGTAAAAGAAAATGAAGGTAGCCTATTCTAGATTGACTCCAGAGGGCTGTACAATTCGCTTAGAAAAATGGTTTTAATAGGTTAATTTTTTAAGATACATATTAATGAGTAAGCTACCTCAGAATACTTCCTTTTCACTGTGAGTTAGGCACCAAGCATACTAGAGAAACAGGAGAGCAGCTAATGTGGAGTCTGCTACCCCATGTTAACTTCTTAATAGGGGAATCGAAGACAGTGGTTGAATATAAGAAATACGTTATCATAACTGTTGACAGTATCATAGTCATTGTTGACTTTGAGCATTTTGCACTGAAAGAAAGCAATTGTAGAAGAGGCCTCCCCTGCCCCATCCCTCTTCTTCCCTGAACTGCCTTATAAGCAAAGTGAATCTGGGGCTGCACGTCTGCATGCTTTTTGCAAGCACAGCTGTACCCTCTGCATATGCTTCAGCACTGAGCCTTGTAGCTTTGTTAGGATGATGCTGCAGCCTGAGCAGAGCTTATGATCATAAATCAAGCATGAAACAGTGCCCTAGGGTCCCTCAGTCGTGGACCCTGCACACAGGACCTTAGATGGCTATACCTGGGGTCCAGATTCAGGACAGACACTGCTGCGAACATGGCAACATTTTAAAGAAGTGGTGTGCCGTGGTTTATTGCTTGTGGTTTCTCTTCTCTCCCCTCCAGGTTAAAGGTCCGGGGATTGGGTTGCTTGGAATCTCGAAAGGGGGTGACCTGTGCATCTCCATGGCCTCCTTCCTAAAGGGCATCACGGCCACCACCCTTATCAACAGCTCGGTGGCAAATGTGGGCGCAGTGCTCCGCTACAAGGACATCACCATTCCACCCCTTGGTGTCAATGCACAACGCATCAAGGTCAACAAGTCTGGGATTGCTGATATTGTTGATGCACTGAACAACCCACTAGAAGCGCCTGACCACCAAAGCTTTATCCCTTTGGAGAAGGCCGAGTGTCGCTTCTTGTTCATTGTTGGCCAGGATGATCGCAACTGGAAAAGTGAATTCTTTGCAGTTGAGGGGAGCAAACGTTTGCAAGCTCATGGGAAGGAAAAGCCTGAGATAGTCTGTTATCCTGGAGCAGGGCACTACATTGAACCCCCCTTTTTCCCAATGTGTGCAGCCTCAATGCACCTGCTAGTTGGCAAACCTGTGGTGTGGGGAGGGGAGCCCAAGGCACACTGCGAGGCACAGATAGATGCTTGGCAGCAGATCCAAGCTTTCTTCCACAAGCACCTCACGGGCAAGCCATCTGGAACATCCAGTAAGCTGTGATGTGAGTTAGGTTACTTTACAGATGAATCATAGAATCATAGAATCATTGAGGTTGGAAAAGACCTCTAAGATCATCGAGTCCAACCGTCAACCCAACACCACCATGCCCACTAAACCATGTCCCTATGAAGATGCTGGTGTTTCAAGTTTGTTTTGTTAAATGGCTCTGAATGAGAACAAAGAACACCAGAGAATAAGCTATTGGGTTTCTTGGAGGATGATAGTGGGTGAGAGCATGACAGCCGCTTCCTTTTAACACCCTCCTCTAACCTCGGTTAGACGTCTTGGCTTCCTGTTGTGTGTAGTATGGGATTACAAGCTGTGGAAAAATGATGGTGGTAAGGCTGGGTCTGCTTTGAATGTGAATTTAAGTGGAAGGTAACTCATCCAAGCTGAGAACTGGGATGAAAATTTGCCTTGGCTTTCTCAGAGGAAACATGTTGTATGCCATTGCCCTGACCAGAGCCAGCTTTGTGCTCTAGTTTTTCTGGAAGCAGCTGTTCTCCCTGCCTCCAGTAATCTTTCTGTTTTCCCTGTGCACTTCCCTCTCCTTCGTTGCTCCTTCCTCTTCTCCCGTGTTACTGAAATGGATCTGCCTTAACACTTAGTAATATCTAATATTTCACTTACCAAAAGCAGCAATATTGTGCCTGCATCCTCAGATAACACATCTCCCATTTATACACAGCAACAGCCCATAGCCTGACGCGACATTCTGGGCACACGCAATAGAAATGAGACATTTTTACAGTTTTGGAAAGTTCATAAGCATGAAGAAACAACAGTATTGGACCCGTTGGTACTCATGCCTGGAACTGCTCATGAGCGTCTCCTCAGCAGGGCTGGATATCCCTGTGTAGGTTCACAGCACTGTTGGAGGGCAGTTTCTCCTTGCCTGTACATTCCCTTAATGCCTCCACAGCTGCCTGCTTGTAAGCTCTGCTAAAAATAGCAAGGTTGCAAAGCTGGTACGGCAGCTCCTTGAGGCATCTTTGCCTTGCCCACCGAGTGCTACGCAGGCAGGTTTGTAGGAGCTGCCGCCGTGTGTGGGGAGGCAGGCTGAGAGGGGCAGTGAGGCGGTGGCATTGCTGTGGCAGGGACTGGTCTAGGCTAGGCCCTGCAGGCCTCTGGGCTTCATTTCTGGTTTTCTGAGGAGCAGGGGGGCAGCAGGGCGCTCTCACCCCCCGTCTGGGGATTGTCAGTAATGTCTGGCACCCAAGTACGAGTTTGAAAGAAAAAGCACTGAATATTGCTCGTGGGGTGCTGATGAGTTTGCATTATTGTTTAAAAATAAGGTTTTAACATGTCGGTGCCTTACAAACACAAGGTGAGTGGATATAGTCTAAGTTGCTGTTCGTGTTTTATGTGAATTCTACTGGTGTGTTTATGCGTTTTGCATTCACTGTATTTTTTAACGGATTAAAATGAAACGTTCGCCTCTACCAACGGCTCGCTGCTCCGCACGGTTTGGGGGAAGGCTGCAGGGGCGGGAGGGTGAAGCGGCGCAGAGGCGGG